TATATATATATATGTATATATATATTATTAAATCTGCTTTTAATCGGGACGTGTGCAAATCAGAATACTGTGTATGTGAATTGTTGTACACAGAGGGTTTAACTTTGCAAATTGTTTTTGATGAAAAATGCTATACGAGGATGGCACACTGTGCATACTGCTTCAGTGGGAAAGACTAAACTGTAGATGATTCTTCGCAGCCCATCAAGCTTCAAAATAGCAGCAAAATTTACTCTGTGGTGCATGAGCTGTCAAATGTTGTATCTCATGCGCAATGTGTTCTTCATTTGGCAACGAGAACATTATGTTTCATTTCACAAAACACATCATGTAAACAAAGGAGTCAAATGTCAGCTTTTGTGCAGCGTTTCAGGACAGGAATGAACAGTTGTAGCAGCAAACAAAGGGAGGAAGGGTTTTAATCAGATTATGTTTCCACCTGAAGTCTAGAGAAATTCCTGTTTAGATAACTTGAAGAGTGGCTATAGCTGAGTGTGAGAGCTGAGAGTTTGCCACATTTGTTAACTGTGTCGTAGATTAATGATCTCCTCAGGGTGAATGATGTCCTTCTGCACATTGTATAACAAGAAAATTTGTTATGCCGAAAAAGCATACATGCTAGAAAAGTTTAGGTTTAGTCTAGTGTTGCAAATAATTAAATATCAGCGAGCCAGGCAATCTGTTTAAATATCTCCAATGCTGAAGCTTTATGCATGGCATTGTTGTATTTAAAAGTTGTCTTTCATGCATTTGTTTGTGTTTGTATGAAGTAATTGTTGAAATCATTTTACAGGAGCAGTCAGAGGAAGACAAACAGGCTTAGAAAAACGAAACATAAGAGGAAGCAAACCAAACTAATATTACCTAAAATAGCACAACATTTGTAATCTGCTACCAACTTAAAAGCCTCAACCCACTTATAGAGCTAAAAAGACTCAGGCTGGTCTCAAAATTCAAGCACTAGAAGCTCAGTATATATTTGATCATATATGTAGCAGTAAAGTTCATATTTAAGACCCTGTTTTCAATATTCTTTAGCTTACTTTAACCAGCTAACTGTAGGTGAAATGGTTTCAGTCCACAAAACTCAAGGTTGCTGCTACAAACAAGAAGCCTGCTTTGATCTACTTCTGCTAAAAATCAAGGATCCATTGATTCAGTAATAACTAGAGAGCCTCTCTGGAGCGCACACCATTCGCCAAAACCAATAACCTATCCTGCAATTTTAAATTGACTCTTGCCTGAACAACTGGAAAAACAAAAAATAGCGAGGTGAAACGTCTTTCACCTTTACGCTTTCTAACTGCATGTGTGCAGCTACAATAAGATGATGATACTCTAATTCCATTCAAATGAAGAAAAACATTACACTATCCACCCTGAAGGTCAGCAAGGTACATTTAACATGTGCAAGATGCAACATCTGGCTCCGAGTGCACCTAGAACTGAATCATTACCGTCCTTGAGCTGTACATGTGCTGCCATGAAACTCTCTCTTCTTTATTTTGTTATTTATGAGAATTATAAAAAAAGTATTCTGGTCTTAAAGTGACATGTCTTGTGATTTAATGTTAAAAACAAGAATTTATGATTTATGGATGGCTCTCTGTAACACTGTACATGTAACATTGCAGTTATCTGGTTGTTGTCTATGGATTAAAGTGTCATTAAATCTAACTGAACTACCTTTATTCTTGCATTTAAATAAAACATTATCTACATTCCAGTCTTCCTTGTATTCAAAAACAAGAATGTTTTCCACACTCAAATTAAACACAGTGCAGCTGGTCTGTGAACCCAGAGACAAATACAAATACTGACAACAGAAACAGATCATGAGGAAAAATGAACTATACAAAATACATTTTGCTGCCTTCAGGCAGAATTAACTCACATTCAGCAGCTGGAGTGTTTTCTCCCATTAATCACGCATTACCTCCTACCACTATAATTTATCACCAGATAATCTATAAACATATTGCTGCGACATTTGGAAATTTCACATGTCAGCCTTTGGGTGCTGCATCACCTCAGAGTGATGTTAACTTTTAAAAATGACAAGATTTCAACATAAGGCTATACATCCACACATTCAGAAGAAATTTACATTCACTAAAATGCCTGAAAACACTAACGCCAGGACCACTCGCGGATGCTGGGCATGCACGTGCCAGTGGAAGCAGAAGGCAGAGGATTGGCTGGTTGTAGAAAATGGGAATGAGTCAGGAAAGCACATGTAGTCAGGAAGCAAACGTGGGTGTCATCATGCGGCATCTTTTTTCAAAAGTCTGGAACCGCTGCCAAATTTGTACCTGTATGTGAGGAATGGGTAATGAGTCCCCTATGAGCACCTGTGCACTGCAGCAGTGGCTAAAAACTATGTGGTGCATTTTTTTTCTTTGGTATGTTCCTTCAGTCTGCTGTAATAACACCACAAGTGCCCTCTAAGCTTGACATATTAATAACACTCAGCGAGCACATGTTGTGGTCATGTATTTGTTCTTTTTTTCCCCAATACAATAAAAAGTGCTGTTAAAGGTTTTTTTAATCTTTTTTTTCTTTTTAGCAATTCTGCTTGTAATTCTCTTAAATGTTATTCAGTGTTCAAGGATTCACATGCAAATGAAAACCATCTAAAATCTATTGTGTCTCCCTTGTATATTTGAAATGATAGTTTTCTCAGCTGTTGGGCCTGATTATGGCCAGGTGCATTTCGTTTGCAGTGCTCTCACTCAGCAAGAGGGCACACGCTTGACATATGGTGCAGTATGGCGTAATATGTGTTACCAAGTGTCAAGGGAAAGTAAAACAGGGCATTTTAAAAGGACTGAAAACTGTTTCAGCAGCATTTCATTTTGCTCACTCTGGGACTGATTGTCTGGATAGCTGCATAAAAAAAAGAAAAAGAAATGATTTAGAGAGGCTATTTCCAAACATATTGGAAAGATGTCCCAGATTGCCACATCACTTTTTTTGTCTAAAATACAGCTATGCTCAAAACTTATAATTTTTATCAATATAGACTCCATTCAGTCTTAGCATGTCTGTGTAATGTGCACGAGGGTTGTACACATCATCATGGTTTCAGAAGTGCATGGAAGTATTCACAGCATGTATTTGCTGCATAGATGCTTCAAACCCCATCTTGTCATGTAAGCGGCTGCTCAGGAGCCAGACATTGCCTTATTGGACTTGGCAGCATGATTTATCCTGTCATAGCAATTATTACGAAGTGACAGTGATTGTCCCGTCTTCCTGCAGAGACCGAGACCTCACCCAGACCCGATGTTGTGAATCTGCCCTTTTCCATATGGAAAGCCAATCAACCAAAACAAACCTAATCCCCCAAAATCCAAGTTTAATAACTTGATATTTAAAAGGTTAAACCTTTGTCTTGGGGACAAAATCAAGGGTCTGTGTTGTATAAAATAATACAAAAACACAATACCGTGACCTATTTCATGCTCCAGTCTGGAAACCTAATATGCGCTTGTGCATGCAGGGGAGAGCTGATAAGTTATGTATGCAAATGCACTCTTTCTGATAATCTTTTTTCAAAACTGGACAAATTTGATAAGATATTTGTGATGCACGCGAACATTTCAATTTAGTAAAACAAACAGAAAGCTTTCTCTTTCTCTTGAATGCTAAACGTTTATGTTTGTAGATTATCCAAAAGAAATATGTCTCATGTGTGATCCACCCATGTAAATGGTTGCTTTTGTATTAATAGTGAGCAAGAAACATAAACAAGGGGACATTTTTATGAGTTGTTATTATGAAAAATAGAAGATTTATGAAAGACAAAATAAATGCAAAACAAACATTTACTCTTTAATAAGCCTTCACTGAGATTTATGGTCTCATTAATAAACTTCACTTTGTTTAGACTAAAGACTTGCATCGCATCATCTCCAATAGTCTTGGCTTCATTAGTGAAATAAACTATTTTTTACTTACTTAAATACGGCTTCTATTTGTTTCAGAGTCATGCAGTCTTACCTGCTTACCTGGTGGGAAAACCATGTGCTGCTTTCTAATAACAAACTCCTGCATGAAGCATGTAAGAAATAGAACGACTAATGACTTTATTTTTCATTTGTTTTATAGCAGCAAAAAACATAAATCCGTTATGAAATCTCAAACAAGGAGGGTCAAAAAGGAGTGAGTTTGTGTGTTCGGGGCTGTGTCGAATCCAATTTAAGTCCTTCAGGCCTTGATACCCCAGCGCTCCTCTGCGCTTTCATAGAGCAGTGCTTTCCTCAGGCTATTTCACACTCTTAGATAAATGGCTAGCTGGCTCTCCTCATTTGATGGAGAGGAACATAGCATTTTACTGCAATGGCTCACAGCACATAGGGAGGGTGAGAGCCAGATGCCACAGTCAGAATCTCAGGTGTGGCGAGGAAATGAAAGTCATGGAGGAAAGACACAGAGCAAGCCAGCAAAAAAACAGCCAGCTGGTCGAGCTTATCTAAGCAAATCAGCGTGACAGACCACTGAGTCCCACAAAACTGCCACCACCTTATGGCTCTAGTTGCCAATAAGCCAGCCATCCAGCAAAAAGTGGGCAGTTTGTCATCTGACCAATAAGTTGCCTCCGTTTGTCAGTCCTCCAACCAACCACGACTCTGAGTACCCAACAGGGTGTAGTTTTCTTGTGCTTCCCCGTCTATCTCCAGTGCACGGTGGTTGGGAATGAGCCCGGGTTTAAATCAATGGAAATATCGCTGACTCCATTTCTTACTATGCTGTTACTCAACGAGACTGTGGGGCACGGGAACCATCCAGTCAGGTAATATTCCCATCAATCCACCTGATTTCAT